ACTTCAAGAACTTGCATATGCATCATATTAGGATTACTTTCCAAAGGGAACAATTTTACTTACAAGTCAATACTTAGCATCAAGGAGATCTAAAAAAAAGGTGTGATCAAAGGCAGCATTTTCAAAAAGCTTCTAACTGGGGGAAAAGTATCTAAGAGGACCCCTATAAACAGGGTAAAATACTAATGATCGTAGAGGTATATCACATGAAGATACTATTGACAAGAGATGATCATTCCGAGATTCAATCAACTCGGATCAAATTTCAAAGCATTGTTCAATCAGGGGCATGCCTTTTGAAGGAGCATTCCTTAATCAAGTCATATCACAACAGGGTATGACTCGGTTTCCTTGTTTTAACAAACCTCTCAAGGCCTTGATAATCAGGGGAAACCTTCCAAGATTCAAATGTTGGGGCAGTACGTACCAAGTTCATCCTATTTCACGTAGGGTCCAAATTCCCCTTCAAGCGACTTCAAGTACAAACTTTTCAGGCTACGAATACTTGGGGAAATCTATGGCAAGTTCATGGTGAGGTCTAAGTTTTTTCTGTGGGTACTTCCTCCAGATCCTGGAAATTGAGGGGCACATCTGTCAAAACTTGAATGTTGGGGCAAACCACTACGGGGCTCGACCAAAAGGAGTTGATTCAAAATGGTTCATCAAAGCAAAACATTTTCAAGAGTCTTTTAATCAGGGTCGTAGTGAAAAACAATGGGGTCATTCATATTATGATAAAATTATTTCCAAGCTCATATAAATGAGAATCTCCTCCAAGAACCTACCAAAACATTAGGGAAAGACAATCTACATAGGGGCAAGATCTCCGCGTACTTTCATAATCTCTAGTGGATCTTTCTCCTATATCAGCAATCTTCAAGTTCAAATTGAGTATCGAGAAATCATGATAGCATAACATTCAACCATCATGTGACAAGCAACTTTGTTACATAGACAAACCTCTACGCTTTAATCATCCACGACCCATTATAGGGGCATCAATCAAAAGCACACGAGTCTGCATAAATCATTCTCATGCATTCATTAGGTTACTTCGATCCAGAATCAAGCTATGCTTATCATTTCATCCGGCTAATGACTTCTAACAGCATGGATCTAACAAAGAGCCCAATTCTCATTGTCACATCAAAATTTCAACATCCATTAACGCATATCCAAGTCACTCATTACATGCATTAGTCAGTCATTCTGCGCATTAACGTATGCATCTGCATCTACATGCATACATGACATATCATAGACTGAGACTTAGGACCCTGTAAAAATCTAGAGTTAATTTCTAGGGAATCACTATTAAAATCTCTAACATCTCTCTGACTATCCCCCTCAGTGTCTATGCTACAAGTTTTCTTCGTCAAACTAAGGCGTGAGCAACTTCACACAATCTCATTTCTTTGTCCATATGTAAGCAGCCTTATGTAAAAGTCGTGAGCAGCCTCACACTTTCCAAATCCTCAGATTAATGTATCTAGGTAACCTTACCAATGTTAGTGACCTTGCTATTCGTTTTACCTTTCCAAGCCACTAAGATGATACTATTCCAGTAGTCCTACTAACGTTGGTGCAAAGCTCAGTTCCCGTCTGGCACATCTTTTCAAAATCTCAACCCCTAATTAGCATGGCTTCTCAAAAAAAATAGTTCTTGGCTGATAGTCTGCCTTAAGCATTGGTTTCGTAGTTCAAATAACAGGGGCACTGCATTTATCAATCATTGCATCATTTCAATTCATAACATTATCATATTAAGCATACATACCACACATTATGCATGCATCAAGCATAAACATATCAAACATACATACATTACACTCAATCATATATGCCCATGAAAACTGCAAAAAATCTCAAGACATGACTACCAGCTAACACGAACTCCAATTTAAATCCAAGCTTAACATTATCCATTCACTTTGCTATCACTATAGCTACCTCGATTGAGAACGGATATAACCGTCAAAGGTACCACTATCAAAATTTCACTAGGCAGCTTACCTACGATTTATATCCAAGGCCTAGTCATCACCAGCCTCTGGTAATTACACTTGCAATTATCAAGTTCAAAGTTTCCAAGTTCGAACCTCTCAAAACATTCAATTTCATTTGGTTATCATGTTGATCAAGCCTCGGTTGAGAACAGACACAACCAGCTTTATTAGCAAATTTTGGGGTTTTTTCTTCATGTCGATAGTCATGGTTGAGGACAACACAACCGACATCATCGTGAATTTAGGGTTTTATTTCTTCCTGTTGATAGTCATGGTTGAGGACGACACAGCCGACATCATCAGTGAATTTTGAGGTTTACTTCTTCCTGTTGATAGTCATGGTTGAGGACGGCATAACTGACATCATCAGTGAATTTTGGGGTTTATTTCTTCATGTTGATAGTCTTGGTTAAGGGTTGACACAACCGACGTCATCAGCGAATTTTATGTTCCATCGCTTCAAATCTGGCATATTTCATTTGGTTATCGAGTCTTCTTTGAGGGCTGACACAACCGAAATCGTCTTTCCAAGTTCTAAGTATCTAGTCTCAAGCTCGCATTATCTATCCTCTAGGCTATGGCAGATATACAAAAAAATCTTTAACTCATTGCGTCAATCTCCATGCAGCAATGTGTTTCCTCCTCTATAATATAGCTCATTGCGTCAGGCTCCATGTAGCAATGTGTGAAATCTGTAAAACAACTCATTGCATCAGTCTTTATGCAAAAATGTGTTTCCTCCTCTACGATATAACTCATTGCGTCAGGCTCCATGCATCAATGTGTGAAATCTGCAAAAACAACTCATTGTGTCAATCTCCATTCAACAATGTGTTTCCTCTTCTGCAATATAGCTCATTGTGTCAGGCTTCATGCAGCAATGTGAGAAATCTGTAATATAACTCATTGCTTCAGTCTCCATGCAGCAATGTGTTTCCTCCTCTATGATATAGCTCATTGCGTCAGGCTCCATGCAATAATATGCGAAATCTGCAAAATAACTCATTGTGTCAGTCTCCATAAAGTGATGTGTTTCCTCCTCTGCGATATAACTCATTGCGTTAGGCTCCATGCAGCAATGTGAGAAATCAGTGATATAACTCATTGCATCAGTCTTCATGCAACGATGTTGCTATCAAGGTTTTTCAATCATCCACCCTTAGGTTGTGGTAGACGTGCAAATTGCCAGTTCATATTATTCATTCCTAGGTTGCAATGAGTACGTGAATTCATCCTCGGATTGTTTACTCCCTAGATTGTAGTAAACATGACAAAGTTGACAATATAACTCATTGCGTCAGGCTCCATGCAGCGATGTTGTTATCAAGCTTTTCTTATCTATCCCCTAGGTTGTGATAGATATGTGAATAAATCTTCATAATCCATTGCATCACTCTCCATGCAGCAGTGTGTTATCAGACTTTGTTCTATTCATCCCCTAGGTTGCGATGAATAGACAAAATCAAATCAAATCAAAACATACTATATTAGTCTCCAAGCATTAGTAAGTCAACTTTTTCAAAACTCGTATTTTTTTGGTAAATACACAAAAAACCACGATCTCTTTTTCTAGGTATTGACGAGTTATCCGCGTTGTCATATCCAGGCAAATCTTACTCTTCAATTTTTACTCTATTCAAACTCTGATAGGATGATACATCATCATCTTTGCATATTTCTTTGTTCAAATTCTGGTAAGGTGATACATCATCATCTTTGCCTATTTTTTCAAAACTCTAGGGGGGACGTTGTACAGCGTATCCTTATCTAGCCAACCTTTGGTCAAATTTTAGGGTCTTCTATTATTTAATAACCCTCCGATTCGAATGTGCGATACATGTGCATTCTCGCACCAGTCAATCAAAGAGTGATTAAATAGGGGTAGTTGTCATACCCCAAATTTGCCCGCCCTTTATTTCTACGGTAAAAAATATTCTTAAACGTTGGTTTTATAAATATTCCTTGATTTTTATAAATATTCGCTTCCAAACCTATTTAAAAATATAATAATTTATTTCAAGATTATTTGAATTTTTGAATAAACAAATACTTGCTCGTCTTCGTGTACTTTCAATTGGCTTTTTATTTTGAATAAGTAACATAGCATAGTTGGTAAGGAATGAAACTTGCAAGTATGAGGTCGCGGGTTGGAATTTCATGTGTGGCACTTTTAAACATTTTTTCTTATTTTTACTAATTTTATTTCCTTTTTTTTAGATCCAACTTTGGGCTTTCTTTTGGGCTTTTGGATAACTTAGTCTCTAAGTCTTATTTTAACCTAATTCACTCTATAAATAGGACATTAGTTTGTCCTAATTTTTCACACACAATCAACAATTTCACAGTTTCACTTTTAGAAAATATTTTTGCAATTTCTCCTCAAAGATTCTATTTGGTTTTTTTCGTTGGCCAATGATTTCATATGAGATTACCCCTCCCTTGTTATTTCTTTAATTTTTGTCTCTCTTTTTAATTTTAATTTGCTTGTTTTTTTCTCAATTATATGATGAATTATATGGTTGTTATTGTTAAACCATTTTTTCTTTTCAAAACTTTTATGTACTTTTCTTTTAGTGCAACTTGTAAGATTCATCATACACACTAGCTATAGTTTTGTTTTAATCATTTTTTTTTATAAAAAAACCTGTATATTTTAGTGACCTGCAAAGTTTCGTTAAACCGTTCGCCGCTAACTAATCCAAATACAATTATATCTCTACATGAAAATAATTGTCACTAATCAAAACCATTATCATCATTTTCACATTTTTTTCATTCATTGTGCATTCATACGATTAACCAATGAAAGCATTCAAAGATTTTATGCAGAATTCATCAATCAAATCCATAAACATGTTGTTGTTTCTTTTACTGTAGCAATAATATTTGCAAAATCATCTCACCTTTGTGTTTCATCAATTTTCTTTTACTACTATTTTTTTTTTTGTTTTAAAGGCAAAGGAAAAGGAATTCAAATCTTTGTTTGGCTAACGAATGAAAACAATCTGGTCCAGAAGGAAAAGGGTCAGAGTTGAGATTGGAACACTCGCTGGAATCAGAATCCATCATGCCACTGTTCCAATTCTGTTCAATTACAAAACCCATTGTTCCTCTGATCCACTACCCACACCGATGAAAACGAATCGAAGAGTGCCTCAGACGGGTCTGCAAGTTCCGACGCGACACCACATCCTCCGCAACTTCACCGCCGAAATCAAATATTGCCCCAGCATCGAGAATCCGCAAACCGCACACCAGACCCCCGATACAGTCCTCTCCGCCTCGACAAACTTCTGCGACACAGTTTGGATCTGTTACGGTAAAATCATTCTTCTATGGTTTTTTATTTTGATTCATGAAATTTCATGTTTTTGAATTTGTTTAGACAAAAGCGTAAGGAAGAAAGGTTTGAGTAAAGAATGAACAAGAGAAAGTGTGTTGAAGATGATTTTATCTCTTGATTAAAAGAACTGAGAAAGTTTGGGGAAGAGAAAATTTTTCTCGTAAGAAGAGGTAAGGTTGTTTCTTATTATTATGTTTTATAAAAGAAAAACTGAAAAAGGAATGACATCTTTACGGGTCAATCTGCCGTGTATGAGAAACATTGAATTTTGAGAATATTATTTGTTTGTTTTACATAAATTTTGGTCTATTTTAATTAAGGTTGAAAGATTAATTTAGAAAATCTACAGAACTAAGATACTCTCTTTTTATAATATTTAGGATTAGAAAGATTGATTTTGTTACTTCATTTCTTATTTTATTTTATTTTATTTTATTTCTCTTATTTAATTTCTCGTGAATAATATAAATAGAATATTTCATATTTTATTAAAATTCAATTTTTTTAATTAGGACAAATTGACACTTTATATATAACTTAGAAATCTCTCTCTTCTATTTAGTGTCAGTAACCCATTTACTAATTACACTCTATTTTAGAATTTGTTTTTAATTAGTTTAATTTAGTCATTTACATTTAATTACTTAGACTAATTTAGTTTTGTTAAATTATTTTAATTTATTAGATTGTTTAATTTTTATTTAGAAAAAGGTCAAAATAAAAAAATATATATAAAAATAACAAATTAATTATTACGTACATAAACACCTTTTTAAATTAAATTAATTCAATATTTTATAAAGATATTAAAAACCATGCAATTCACCAATGAGCGACACGTGGCCAATATCTGACCATGTGATGAGAAGACTATATCAGACTCTCTGCTCTATGTCATATCATACTCGTTAATCAATTTAAAACTCAAAACAGCTAACCAACAATTCAAACATTTTTTCAACTAACATAATCAAAACCTCAAGATTATTTTTGAAAAAGGATTAGGGAGAATTACTTTCAAATTAACTACGAACTGCGTCTATGCTCACACAATTTTCAAATCAGACGAGCTTTAAGGATAAATTCGAAAGCAATTCAACGCAATCCATAAAAACCACAGACCAACTGCGAACTATGAATTGAGACTCTGATTACTCCTAAGAGGATACGTAGGCATACAACTAAAATTGTGGCGAGTTTCCCTAATAAAATATTAAAACCCTATTTCCTAAGATCATGTTTCTAACCCTAGTATCCTTGTGAATAAGATAGATGAGAGGTGTCTAACACCTTCCCTTCGTCTAGAATCAAGTCCAAAAAACCAACAATCTCTAACTTTTAGGGTTATCCTTTATATTCCCCTCCTTAGAATAAAAATTAAGGGCGACGACCCTCAAATTTAAAACCAATTACAATAGATAGAAATGCTAATAGTAGTATTTTATGTAAAAACAAACTAGAACAAAAAGACATAGTTCATGTCTACTAATTATACATGGTGGAATGATATACACAACAATGTATTTATGGACTTTAATAGAAATAGGCTAGGATTTCCTAGCTTTAGAACTGACAATTTCTTTTCTCACACTTATATCTTCTCCCACACTCTTGAAAATTCAAAAATGTCTTAGGAAATTTTTGAAGATACATCTCTGGACTCACCTTGAATCATCCAATCCTTCATAAATCAAGCAGCCACCATGTTTTTCTAAACATTAGTTCAGGGTGCTTCTCCAAAATTTTCTTGAATAAATTCAAAGATACATCTCTAAAAACACCCATGACCCCATTTGCTACGTGTTTTTCATTAAAATTAGCGTCATTGTCGGGGACTTGTTGTCGATTTTAATCAATATTAGATTCATAGAAATTGTATCCTCGTGTTCTGACCATTGCGTTCCTGTATTTTTGGCTTTTACGCGGCCTAGCATAAAAAACTCAGTTTTTTAAAAAATCGACTCTGAATCAAAATTTTACCGTATCATTTCATCAGAAAAATTCAGGGATCAAAGTCTCTTATTTAGGGACTAAATACGGGACACCACCCTAAAAACTCTAAATTCCTTATTTTTCTATTTTATTTAATTTAATTTCTTTTTTCATATTTTTTATAAAATCTAGAAAAAAATTGTAGACTCATAATTTTATTTTATTTTATTTTTATTGTATTTTTAGATTTTTATAATTTTATTTTAATTATTTTTTATTTTTCAATTGTTTTTTTTATTCAATAAGGACATTGTTGGTATTTACATATTTGTTGCATTGTTGATCTGGATACTAGGTATACTTATTCGGATAAAAAATACAATAAATGATTTTTCGAATATGCATATATGAAAATATTTTTTTTCGTAAAAAAAGGGGTTTATTTAAATATGTATCTCCGAAATTAAGACTTTGTTTGGTAAAAACAGTGGTTCGGTGATAAGCTAGCTTATAGCTTATAGTATATGAGTGATGGCTGATGACTGATAACTTATAGTTGATGACTGACTGATGACTTATAGATGATAAGCTAATTAAAATATTTGGTAAAATTAGCAGTTTAATTAATTGATAAATTTAAATGACATAAAAGACATTTAATATATAATTATTTTATTTTAAATTCAAATAAGTTATAAAGGATAGTAGTGGGTTTTAGATAAAATAATAAGGGTAAAAATGGAAGAAAAAACGATAAGCTATAGGCTATAAGCTAAAATATTATTTGAAATAGCGCTTGGAAAATAAGTTATAAGCTAGTAAAATAAACCATAAACTTGTAACGAAAAGATTGTTATCAAACATATCTTTTATTGTCATATAAACTTATAAGTTATAAGTTATAAATTATAAGCTTAAAAAATATCTCGTCAAATAGAACTTAAATATAATAGAATAACTTGCTTATTTACATTCAATTTTATAAAAAATAAAAACGTTATATACATTTCGGAAAATTAAAAATATTTGTAAAATTTCATTAAAAAATTTAGAAAAAAATAAAAAATGAAAAATAAATTGTCTTAAAATTTATTAATTTATAAGGTTTTCGCCTAATCTCTTTTTTGTGTATCCCTTTTCTCTTTTATATATTATGGGATAGCTCATTTTTTTCATATAAAAAAATTTAAAACTCTATTAAACAATTAGATCTATCTTTAAGTGGTTGAGTGTGAAAATATTTTAGATGATCCATGATTTATAAGAATGGTTTTAGAAAAATTAAAATAATATCAATTTCTTGTACAAATTTTATGTATTAGTTATGTCTTTTTACTCTTAAAATATTTGCTTTATAAAAGTTATTTTAAAATAGATGCTAAAATATGTTAGATCTAGTCAGTTTAATTATACTCATAAATTTAATAGTTAAGTACATACATCTGATATTATTTTATTTTTTAGTAATGGTAAGGTACACGAATGTTCACACAAATAAAAACTTATAAAAAAGTTAAACATTGTGATTTACTTTGAGATTATAACAAACGTTTAAAAAAATTGAAATACCAAATCCTTGGCAAGTTTAATCAAATCATTCAAATAATCCCTACCAAATAAAAGACATTTTCTAATTCAACAACCTTGCATCATCTCTGTTCGCACATTTTCATGGATTCTTTTTGTTTTTGAAGAAAATGAAAGAAGTTATTGAAATGATGAGGTATTGGAAAACTTAGCCCACCTTTTTATTCCTTTTCAGAATTTAGCTACTAATGGCTGTTATTTAACAAGTTGATGAAAAATGGAGACTTATAAAGTTAGAGAAAATTAAAGGATGATGATTTGGGATTTAGGGAGAATAAGAGGACGAAAATTTGGATTTTTAAAATTATTTTTTAATAATTTTTTTTCAATTTTTACTGGATTTAATATGTTTGAGAAGATGATAAATATGTGGTTGATGATGAAGGATAAATATATAAAAAAATTATTAAAAAAATTAAGTTGTAAAACATTAATTATCCATATATTTAATTAAGATGGTGATGTTGATTATTTGTATTAAAATCTGTTTAAAGTAAAATTGAGGACTAAAAAATCGGTTTTAAAATAGGAATCCAAAAGTTAAAAATATTTAAGTAAGGTTAAAAAATGCGTTTAAGTCTTAATTTTAAATAATGAAATGATCTTTTAATCATTTTAAAAATTAAAAAATATTAAAATACATTTTAGAAAAATATTTAAATAATAAATTGATCTTTTAATTATTTTAAAAATTATAATTGTTGAATTCGAGAAACTAATTTTATACTAAATCTTTAGTTAAGTTGTGCTACATTACTCTAAAATAACAAAAAGAGAACAACGAGGACTAGAAAGAGCGAATGTTGTAAAAAGAAAAATTCAATTTCAAAAGTGGAAAACTAAAGTTGAATTCGGTCAAAGTAAGAAGGAGAATAATAATGTGCATTTAAGTTTATTTTTTAATTTTGGGATAAAATACACATTAAATAAAAAATAAAAATTAAAAGAAGAAACTATATCAAAATTTTATATGTCATTTATATATAGTTAAAGATCCCCTTGAAAACAAAAGATCATAATATTATAATATGAGGTATTTATGTTAAATAATATTAAATAGATAAAATAATAATAGACAGATATAATTTATTTCCTAATTATTTATTTTGTTCAATTTTAGAAACGCGTCTTCAAGCTGTTACGTTTCTTCTATAAATAGCTTCAAACCCTAATATTTGATTCACAACGGTTTCTCACTTGTTCACAACTTTCTCTCACAAATTTCTCTGTTGAATCTCTTCATCTTTTAACTATGGCTTCTTATACCGTTGTTTTGATGCTAGTTGCTACATTGTTGATTAGTTTCACCATTGCTCAATCTCCGCCAGTTGTCACTCCTCCAGTCCCTAGCGCTTCATCTCCTTCACCATCCACCGTCATCGTCGCACCACCTCCTCCGGCCACTGCTCCTGCTGTCACTCCACCGCCGATCTCAAAGTCTCCGGCTAAAGCGCCGTCCAAAAACAGCGCTCCTTTGAACGGATTCTCTGTTTCCGGATCCGCGGCTGTTGTTATCTTTGCTGCTGCTTTCATGATGTAGAATGTTTTACTCTTGCGTTTTATTTTGTTTTAGCTTGATTTGTTTTGTTTTTAGTTACAAATTTACATTGATCTTGAACTTTTACCTTATTTTCATTAGATCATTTTCTGTCATCTACTTAATATTTTAATAAATGATATAGTTAAATTCTCTTCGACTTCTGCTATCTTCTTACTATTATTTTTATTATTTGCAATGTCGATAATTTTTTAGAATCGTACATAATCACAGTGACCATGCCTCTTTCTCATTGGTAAATTATTTTGGAATTATTTCATTAAGTGACCACTTTGTCTTTGTCATCGTTAGACTTCTTTGTCTTCCTTGTGTATATGTTTTATTATTATCAAAATTAAAGATATGTGATTTGAAGAGTTGAATAATTAAGAATCATTTGAGTAGGAAAAGCAAAAATATATATTTGTCATTCTTTTTAGAAGATAATTTAAATTTTATTTTAAATTTTATTTTCTTTAATAGAAATCATATGAATAATAGCTGTAATTTTCATTTTTTTTTTTACTATTAAGCATTTTCTTGAAGAACTAAGGATATATAATCAAAATAATTTTTAATAATAAATTACAAGCCATTTTTAAAGGTTCTGTGTTTGATTAAAATATATTTGGTTCCCAATAAAATTAGTCTAAATCAATTATTTCTCACGCATTAAATCTTTTAAAAATCAATTATTTTAATTTTAATAGCTAAGGGAATGTTTATTTCAAGTTATTATTATGTTTGGATAAAAATAAACTTTCTTAAAAATATTTACAAATTTATTTAATTTGAGTATAAAATGTATTTTAAAATAATTTTTTAAACATGAATCAAACATGGAATGTGTCATTTCCATAATCATGTTTTTTAGAATATTTTTTATAATTTTGAAACAATTAATAATTTAAATATTTGATTGAAGGGATGATATTAAATAATTTAAAAAATGATTATTTTAATTATTTTAAATAACTCTTAAAAAATGTATTTAAATATTTTTCTATAATGTAATAAAATTAATTTCATAATAAATATAATAAATATTAAAATATATAATTTTATAAAATTATTTTATATTAACGAGCCAACTAAATATATTAATATATGATATATAATATGTAATTAATGTCAGGAAGTAAAGTCATATTTAATTTATTATTAAAGTCAATTATATGTAGCGGAGAGAAAATTTAGATAGGAAGTGATCTTACCGTTTGGTTCCTGTTTTTGAGCTTGGATATGCGGGTCCGCAGGTAACTATCAGGACTGATCATATCGAGCACTAATCATATCGAGCAGGTGTGCTCATAACTAGTCGTTGATCGCTTTGGGCTTTGAACTTGAAGAGGTGGCGTGTTTCGAGAAGTGCGCTGACGAAGCGGCATGATGATGACCTAAGGACTAGGGTGTAATGATGACGCCCTTAGGGCTCCCTAGACGTGTGTTACCGTGCGGATGGTCCCAGCTATAAATATGAGAGGAGTAGGGCATTTTGTGTTTTTCATTCTGCTCTCACACTGCTCGCAGTTGCTCGCCTGTCGACCACCATCGCTTCTTGAGGTTCACCGCTCATTGTCGCTCTTTTCAACCTTCTTTCTTCTTTAATTGGTAAGATTTCAACTTTTCGTTGTTATTTGGTTTTTGTAGCCTGGACTTTCATGATTTTCTTCTTAGAAGTGCATGTGGTTAGGGCCTAGGATCTTGTCTGTTAGAGCGTTCTTGTAGTTTAGAACTTCTGAAATCGTCGTGGATCCGCCCCTGACATTTCACGATGAGCTATAGATGGTTCTTTAGGATCTAGGTCATTTTGCTGCACTTTTCACGTTGTTTATGTGCCTTAGTGAGGGTTCTGGTCAAGGACACGATCCTCGTTTATCAGCGCCCTTTCACCTGATTAGTGGTGGAAGGGTGATTTTGGCATTGATGTCGAACTCATCTTCATCCTTTGCTTTTCAGGTACTGTGGCCGACAACACCGGAGATCACTTCTCGGGCGAGTCTTTTGGATCCTCACGAAGTTCTTTGGAAGAGACGAGTAGCTCGTCGAGTATTTTGGAGATTTCTGAGGATGATCCGGATCAGCTCGAACGACAAGTGGGGGGGAGGTGACATGGAGATGGCCCCTACTGATCAAGGTGGCCTATTCCCCCCCTCCCCTGACGAGAATGAGGACCTGCGGTCCTGGGTCACCCTAGATCCTTGGGACTGGCCCTCCTACTTTTTCGAGCATCGGGAAGATGTTTTTACCAAGGTATACGCATATGAGGAAGGAAACCGGGGAGAGTGGTCGTTGTACATTCCTTGAAAAGATAGCAGGATCTGCTTGAAGTATGACAAACGAAGGATTCCCATATACAACATCGTGTTTCGGGAGATGGGCCTTCGACTTCCTTTCTCAGGTTTCAAGGTGGCCGTATTTAGGTATCTTCGGCTGGCTTCTTCCCAATTGCATCCTAATGGCATTGCTTTCATGCGAGCGTTCGAGATCGTTTGCGACTACCTGAAGATTTGGGCGACCATCCCTTTGTTCTTATACTGCTTCCATATCCAGAGGAGCAAGATCGATGATAAGTGGGGATGGGTTGCCTTGAAGCAAGGCAACAAGAAGCTGTTTAAAGCCTATCTAGAGTATGTCCGCCATTTCAAGGATAAATATATACTGGTACAACCTTTCTCGAGCAAGGTGATGCTGAATGTTTTCAGGACCGTACCGGTATATAACAAGGATGGTTCCCCCCATTTGAACGAGCTGGGAGAGCTTGTGAATAAACTGGTTTACAAGTTCCCTTTCTAGTGGACGAGGAAGCACTTTGATAACAAATTATGTTCCTATGTCTGGAGGGAGGGGGAGCTAGGTGTCAAGGACCAGGAGAGCTTCGTCGTCTTGACCGCCTTTGTGGCGCGTATCCTTCGGGTTCAACGATTGGGTTGGGGAGATAGGCCGGTGACGGATAAGAACGGGGAGGCTGTATAAGAGCCCGGTTTGATAGATGTCAAGGAGCTCCTTGAGAGCGAGGATCCCATCAAATATTTGGGTATTTACATTTTGAATAGTTATGTATGGTCTATGCTTTTTTGAGTCCTCGTTTGCTAACTATGATTCTTTTTTGTTTATTTTGCAGATAGCATGAATCCTGTCCAAGAGCGTATAGCCAGAACTCTTGTTGCTAGAGCGAAGAAAGCTTTGAAGGATGCTCAAACTGGCTTAGGGGTCGCTCCTACTTCAAGGTCGTGCGATTCGTCTTCGGACCAAGCTACGGTTTCTCTTTCTTCTGCTCACGTGTCCTCGAAAGCGAAGAGGACGCTTGTCGAGGGAAGTGTCGATCTGACCGGGGAGAAGGGAAAATGGACGTATAACCTACCCCTTTGCTGGGTGGAGAAAGCTTTCTTTGAGGGCTTAGCTCACCGACTTCCTCGGGCCGAATCCCTTCACCTCGAGGGTTTGGACCATCCGAAGAAGAGGGCGATGCTGGCGCAGGACATCGGTGGTCTAATGAGGATTTTAGAGATGGTTGTTTCTTACACCGAGGGGAGTTCTTTGTAGGAGGCAGAGTTAAAGAAACTTGGGCTAAGTTGGCCGCGATCGAGAAGGGGCAGAGTGGCCGCGACTTTGTGAGTCTTAAAGAATCTAGACCGCAAGTATACAGTCCTATCGTGTGTAGCTTTAAAGATTATTGAATCCCGAGGGACTAAATGTCGAACTACCGTTATCATAGGTTACTACGTAAATCTAAGGCTAATAATGTAATTAATAGGGGGTTTAGGGAACCTAACTGATTATAATCTAGTTTAGATTCAAGGGAGAATATCGGTATGTAATGGTCGAACTTCGGGGATTTAGCAACTCATTAACCTAACTCGGATTAACAAAGCAGTTTTCAGTAGGAAGTATTTGTTTGAAAACTCTCTTTCTTCTCAGATTCTCGTGTTTATTGATTCAGATCCTACAATCAAACCTAAGTGAGGGCTCTCGCTGTTTCAATTAGAGTTTAAAAATAGTTTTTGGAAACAAACAAAACCTAATCAACTTAAAAGCGCTCCCGCTGTATTTTAAGTTGATGCATAATTACCACTGTCCAATTATTATCTCAAATTCTCGTTTTATTGATCCTAACTTCTATTTGTATTTTACTCTCTTAACAAAACTGTTAATATTTAGAACTAGTAATTGAAACCAGAAAATTATTCTTTTTTAAAAGGAACTGATCAATTGGTGTTGCTAAACATTGTTGGCTATATGACCTTACATACCGATAAATTAATTTAGCCTAGCATGTTAAACAACTCAATAACAGTGCAACAGAAATAACTACCGTCAAACAATTTAAATAAACTAAAAATTTCAGACAATCCTGGCATAAATAAATAAAGTACTTAAGTTAAACCTGAAAATATTATGGCAGAATATTTGGCTGATATCAGATGTCTCCCACAGACCGGTAAAGAAAATAATGCGAAAAGAAAATAATGCGGAAATAAATAATGCGGAAAATATTCGGCAGAGTAACAGTAAAAATAGAGAAAAGAAAACGTGTTTAAAAATGGGGATTTGGGGTCATATTTATAGGCTTGGAGACGTGCAGGGAGTTGAGATATTTTCTCCTCCGAATTTGCCTCCGTAGCGACTGCTACGGATTGAAACACTCAGTGTAACGGTCGTTACACTCATTCTTTTGAGGAGGGACTAGCGTTGCAAGGTGTAACGGTCGTTACACCCCTTACTTTTAAGGAGGAACTCGCTTGGTAAGGTGTAATGGTCGTTACACCAGGGTTAGGTGATGTGTAACGGTCGTTACACCCCTTGGACCTTGGGTGGATTGGACCCAACGTGTATTTCTTATTTTGGTCTTCCAAGGCCTTTTACTTGTAATGCACCCAGTTTTGTCACACACCCCTCAATTGAATAATTTCTCTTTCTTTGTGCGGATTTTAAATATGATTAGCTCGACTTTTCTTGACTTTCTTCGCACATGCCTTGCAAACATCAAATTTCTGAAAACA